GTTTTAAAATTTCAGGTTTCGAGTGTCTGAATACAGTGCTCCCAGTTCCCTTGCCTGATTCCTCTGCTATTTCTCTTTGCCAGGCTCCCTGGCTTTAGGCCCTCCTCCCTCTAATGTCACCTGGGTCAGAGACCATGTACCATGTGACCTCTCGTGGGTTGCAAGTGGTTATTAACACAAGCCTTTTCAAGGCGACGCCTCTTTTTCAGGACTTTTTAAAAACTCCTGAAAGAGAAAAGCAGTTATTTGGTTCACTTGTTCTCATTTGCATCTGTAAAGGGAGCCCAGCGGGAGGCTCTCTGGGCCACGTCTTCGCTGGCTGTTTCTTGCCTTCTCATGTGAAGAACGGCAGGATCTTGTCTTTTGTTCACAGGCGTGAAAGTCCATGGGGCTGGGAACCAGAACAGGGCGCTCTTTGTGCGCCCCAAGCATGCGAATGCGCGCGGTCACACACTAGTTGCTGTTTAACCACAATAAAATGGTGACCGAAGGAGATAGACATTTAAAGGATAAATGACAGGGCTGTTAATCACAAAGCAGGTCCTGTGGCATTGTTGTTTTTAGCTAATAGGTAGACAGCCCAGAGTCACTTTTACAGCTGAGTGAAATCTCTGTTTCCAACCAGTAAAAAAAAAAAAAAAAGAGATGTCACTGGATATTTTGAATAGCTGATCATTTTGTGTTTCAAAAAAGTCATTTGAACACATTTATTTAAACAGTGTTTGGAAACTTCTAGGTATTTCCCTGAAGTGTTTGCTAAGCTTGGCCATGTCATTCATAGAATGAATGAATATATATATCTATATCTCAAGTATATTATCTAAGGAAAGAGCCTTTAGGGCTTTTATAAGTCTATGAATTTAGAACTTGATCCGTCTTTATCCTATAAAGCGTTATGATTTCTTTCCTGTTTAGGGATGTAAAGTTTTCTTTCTCTTTCTCTCCCCCCCCCCCCCCCACCTTCCCTTTCACTTTCTCTAACACAAATGGAAAAAATATCCTCAGGTGAGGATTAACAAAACAATAAAAAAGAAAAAGTTTTGTGAAATACCTTCCATTGTTTAAGCTTTAAAAGAAATAAAAGATAAGAGACAAGTCACTGACTTGCTAATATTATCTACCTAAACTAGAAGGAAAATATATAATGACCCAAATAACAGTCTGAAACTGAGGTTCTCTAAGCTGAAGGTGAAAGTGCTAGCTACACCAAAGAAGTACATTATTATTTAAGGCAATATTGCCTGGCCAGTGTGGCTCAGTGGTAGAGCATCAACCCATCAACCAAAACATCACTGCTTTGATCCCCAATCAGGGCACATGCCCAGGTTGTAGGTTCAATCCCCAGTAAAAGGGCATGCAGGAGGCCGCCAGTCGATGATGCTTCTATCTATCCCTTTCCCTTCCTTTCTTTCTAAAATCAATAAAAACGTATTTTTTAAAAAGGCAATGTTATAGCCCTAGCTTGTGTGGCTCAGTGGATAGAGCATTGGCCTGTGGACTGAAGGGTCCCAGGTTCAATTCCAGTCAAAGGCATATACTTGGGTTGCAGGCTTGATCCCCAGTAGGGGGCATGTAGGAAGCAGTTGATCCATGATTTTCTTTCATCATTGATGTTTCTCTCTCCCTCTCTCTCTCTCTCTTTCTCTCTCTCTCTCTCTCTCTCTCTCTCTTTTTCTCTCTGTACTCTCTCTCTCTCTCCTTTCCTCTCTGAACTCAATAAAAAATGTTTTAAAAAAAGATATTTAAAAAAGGCAATATTGATTGAAAACCAAGATGGCAGCATAGGTAAACACCAGAGATAGCTGCCTCGAACAACCACTTCAAAAATACAACTAAAAGACAGAACGGACATCACCCAGAACCACAGGAAGACTGGCTGAGGGGAAATTCTTCAACTAAAAGGAAAGAGAACAGCATACAAGACTCAGAGGAGGAGCGGTGCGGAAATACAAAGGTGTGGAGGTACACGCGGGAGAGGGCTGGTAGCTGAGGGCGGGGTTGTCGTTTTCAATTGGGAGGGAGTCTCAGATTCTGAGCTCCAGTTCTGGGCGAGTCTCTAGGGACCCAGACTCAAACGGGAGAAGTGGGACTGTCTGGCATCGGTCGGAACGCGAGGGCAGCCTTCTCTCCAAGGTATTTGCAGCGGTCGCTGGGACTCTGAGAGGCAGAGCCTTTAGGGACAGGACTGAGAGCAGCCATAACTGCTTGCTCTGCCCGCCCTGTTGATCCCCTGGGACCTGCCCTGCCCAAGCCTTGCACAGAGGCATTTGCAGGATAGCCTTAGGCAAAAGCTAGATTAGCACCTCCCTAAAGGACAGAAGTTCTCCCACTGCAGACACAGCTGATTCTCACAGCCAGTTGGTCTGGAGGTCAAATCCCCCCCAGTATTACCTACAACAATCAAGGCTTAACTACAACAAGACTGCACCCAAAGACCACAAGGGGGTGCACCAAGAAAGCATAAAAAAAGCGGAGACAAAGAAACAGAACACAAATGACAGAAATGGAGGAAAGCAAACTACTGGATATAGAGTTCAAAACCACATTTTTAAGGTTTTTCAAGAATTTTCTAGAAACCTACAATAA